CTTTCCCTAACCTTAACGTTTCTGTGCCTAACCATTTGCTTTCATTTTTGCTGCCAGAAAGATGTTGTCATGTCACAATTTTGGAGGCAGAATTGTGTGACTAATATGTTCTGCGTTGTGGACAAAGGTAGCTATTGTATATTTTGCTGTGATTGTGTTGGTCCCAAATTTCATCCAGTTTAATGAAAGCAGAGTTTTAAATGAAAACACTGGACACCGTAGACATTGTATGTAGACCAGTAATAAACATACATAATCAAAGTGAAGAACTAAAATCCTATTCTTGTATATATGTATATTTAAACCATGCAGTAGTTCCACAACTGTCCATTTCAGAACAGTACAATTATAAATTACAGATCTCCACCATACATTTCTTATTTGGCTGCACAAACAATCTCCACTGATGCCGAGTTAAAAAATAAAAAACAAAAACATTGGCTTACTTTTTGATTCGCTCCTTCCCTATATTTAAACAACACAATGGATACCAGGATGGCATTATACATGACTGTTTAACCTACATCACTGTGCCCAATGTTGTCAGTGAAGGCGATGAAGATGTTTTGGTTGAAGGCTAGATTTTCATGTTTAACCCTAAAGACCTAAAGTATGTGTTCATTTTCTAATAAATGACGATTATTGTTTAGTCAGCCAAAATATACCCTTCTTAACCTACTGCCCTACAGATTTTGACTGGCCCTGGACATAAGTATAAGTCACTGCACCTTCTCATAATATTTGATCTCGTAGTCAAGGATGGGCAGTAATGTCGGCTCAGGTTGAGGCCAGGAGAGAGCGATGCTGTCGGGAGAGGCCCAGTCTTTCTTCAGTGCCCCAATCAGAGATGGACCTGGTTGGAAAACACAACATACAAAAATCAGGTAAAGTCTCTTGACCCTTGTCATGTGAATGTGAGTCCAGCCACCTCTGGTGAGTGCATTAATAAAACATAAATCAGGTTGTACATTAGCACCGGATGTCCACATTTGGCCTTTCACTGTGAACATCAATGAGTATCAACAATCAGCTCTCACAAGCTGTTTCACGGGAATGCACCACTCCCTTTCTACTATTCCATACTTCAGCAAACTTTAATTGAAGAAATAGCTACGTGACATTTCAAAGCGACTTACAATGCTAAAGTAAATTTGCTTAAATTCAATCAGCCAAAAAATTGTTGAACAAGAGTTCTATTTTAAATTCTTGTCCAGATCATACAACACTTCCATGTATTTGGTTAGTGTTAGCACATAACATGGCAAACTACAGATGGTTATATTCAACATTAACTGTGCAGCTTCACAGTACTACTAGCATGGCTACAGACTTTTAGTCTTGTCTGTCTCGGGAGAACCAGGTGACCCCAACAAGCAGTCAGCTTTTCTATGGTACCAACGATGTTTGACAGGAAACACACACAGCAGATTAACACCTGTCCACCTTGTCAGCAATAATAATCACACATCTGTGCTCACACTCAATTATTCTATTTCTAAATGGGCGTTAGTGCTTTCAGGTCACTGCATAAATCTTCTAGCTTTAAATGGAAATAAGTTGAGGAAACTACATCTACTTTTCTTGAACTGAATTGCATTAACTTTGCTCTATGAATTTGTGCTAGGTAAATAATTGCAGTGAGCTCCCAAGAGAGGTCAGCAAATGTAACTGCCTTGAGAGTCATTATTATATATTATATCATCTAATGTTACAGAGCTGACTCATTAGGTGGATATAAAATGTAGGCCTGCTTTCCTCATGTGTATTCAAAGTGAGACAGTGGCACTGGTACTATTTCTTTGCATTTATTCTACAGAGTGTCTGGGGAAGCTGGCTGCAGTTCTCACGTTGAGTGAGGGTGGATATTAGGGGCTAAAACCTTTGGGTTCAAAGGGGAAAATGAAGAGTCAGGGATGGGAACTTAGGGTTTGGGGATTAAGGATGGCAGTGTCGGGGTTGGGGGTCGGGTATTAGATTAAATGAGAGTTTTAGGCTGTAGAAGTTTGAGCTTATTTGCCAGAGACCTGCTGCTACCAATCTAACAAGGAGCTGAAGGTGAACCTCAGTTCCACGGAAATAAAATTCAAATAATCCCAAGTGGCTTTCTGATTATTTCGTTATTAGAATTATACTCTGAAGTGTGCAGAGTGTGTGTGGTTGTATAGGTAATAACTAATTTAACAAAGACTTACAAAATATTTTGGACATTATTTATGTGAGTAACCCATGGAGGCTGTGATTACAAATGATTCAGCCAGGTTACTCAAGCAGCCAAGAACCTAGGTCAATAGTTTATTAAATGGATCAAAACTTGGTGACCAATAAAACAGGGCTGGAGGGGGGAGGTGCACTGTACAGCACGTTTACATTAAATTCATTGTAATGCTTGGCTTCTCCTTAATAACCGCCACCTTAATAACCATTTCAAATTTGGTAGGTCATCTGAAATGCTAGTGAAAATAGACCAATATCATGGGTGAGTGAAAATTGCTAATAATATTAGTATAATCGGGTACCTCAAAGGGCATGGTGTGTGCGTGTGTGGTTTTTATTTTAAAGAGAACATGTGGAGCAGCTGGAGTAGAAAACAAAGCCATGCTTTTCCAGCAACCCAATAAAGCCAATGCCACTGACATCTTATGAGGCCTTATTATTACATATAACCTCTCATATGACCACTTTACTTAGAGCATGCTCCAATCCTTTGCTCCTGCTATCTTCAGTGGCAGAGAAAATTCATCTCAAGGGGATTTTATGAATCTAACTCTGTCTAATAAACCACTCCGTTGAAGCTGCAATATTGCAGAGTTTCCTGAGCTGCTTGTGCCAGCTGTGTAGAGCAGTGATGACGGGGCGATGTGGTTTGCGGCTAGAGTCATGCAGTTGAGACATCAAACTATGACACAGCAAGATGGTTGGCATATGTTGTTAGCATGCTGGCCCCTGTCAGGGAACTATAAACACAGTGTAATTATAATCTCCCCCTGACCCAAAGATTCAAAGCACTCTCCCACTGCAAGGCACTGCAAAAAGCACACACATGCGAGTTTTGCAAACAAACAAGGAAACACAATGCAGGAAGGTGACCTGTGTAAAAAGATTTGTTGGAATAGTACAGTAACTGTGGCTAAATTGTGGACATACACAGTTTACCCAACAGGTCCCAAAAGAAATCAGACCTTTACATGTATATCACAACAATTTCACAAAATTTCACTGAGACAGAGTCAAAACACACTAGGCAATACAATGTATTGTCTGTCTCTGTGTGCACAATGGGGCCACATTATTCATTTCCAAAGACATCACTGTCTACCAGACACCAACAAGACACTCTGAGGACACAGGACACATGACAGCCGTCTTTAATGGTTTTGTATGTGGATTATTAGAGTTTTAGCATCACATCTGCCAGAGGAACTTGCTTTCTTTCTCCAAGACGCAGGAGCACTGCAAAGTCATTGGAAAAGCTCTAGAATCACCAGTCAATTACGATGCCCGATAGATAGATTTTCCAGTCAAGTGTGGTTAGGCTCAACATAAACTAATGGGGAGTCTTTAAATGAGCTTGACCTGCATATGATTTTAATTAGCTCTCCTGCCTTAAAGGCTTCCATTAACCGTTTAAAAAAAAAAATCAATAGAGTCAGTATTGATGATGTGTGAGAGCCTAAACGATGTCCTAACACTTCACTGATTCACTGGTGATAGTAAGATAGAGTGTGAGACACACACCTACACACACACACACACACACACACACACACTATACAGATGCTCTTCCGTCATACTGATATGTTGTGTTATGGTTGTGTGTGTCATGCGGCCAATGATTATATTTCAGAAACACATACGTACATGTGTACACTCACTAAAAAACGTTACATTTGCCTGAATTCAATTTGATTTGATCTAAATGAGTTCAACTCAGCATTGGAGTCATTTTCAAGCACTGTCACAAATGTGGCATGTTTCTCAAGCACGTGATATTTGTTCCAAGGAACTAAGGGAATGAATGAATGAATGAATGAATGAATGAATGAATTGAAGTCGTTTCCAACATTACCATAGGGACTCCAAGCAATCATCTGGAGCAATGTCACTTTTATAGAATCTCTAATCTCTGTGTGTGGACACGTACGTCAGTGTGGCTTTGTGTGTGCTGTTTTTACAAACCATGAGAAAGAACTGACGTGACATGAGGTCTGCTTTGTGGACTATTGTCATTACCCTTCATTAAAGCTGGAGGTCATTCCCATTGCACTGTGGGTCACCTGCTCTGTGCCATGAATGCAGGCATAAACACAGACACCACAGAGACCCAACAACGGTCAAATAAACTCAATCAGGCACAGAACAACTGAAACTGCTGCCTAATTAGTACTGACCTCTGTGTTAACCACGAGAGAATCTGATCTCCCTGTAATGTCCCTGCCTGTTTGTTGAACCATCAAGGTACTGTATGTGTTTAAGAAACTTGGGAGTTTTGGGGAACCATTTGGGAAATAGAGTATTCTCTTATTTGAGAGTTAGATGAGAAGATTGATATCACTCCCCTGCCTGTGCATTAAGTGTGGAGGTAGACAAGGTGCAGTTAACTGAGCAGCTCGCCCAAAAGTAAAAAAAAACAACAACTTCCTACCAGCACCTGAGAAGTGCAGTTATTAACACATGGTGTCTTGTTGGTTTTTTCCACAGTCATGCTTTTCAAAACAACAGTTTGTGGTTTTATAAGAATTTACTGGCTGTGCAGTAACTATTTTCTGGTGAATAACAGCCAGTAGCAGTAGAGTGGAGACGCTGCATAGAAGTGATGGATGAATATACAATAATGTTTGCAAAATTTACATTCACTACATAATTCCCTACATAACACAATATTGCTCTTTTTACAGGTGGAGTTCTGACCGTTAGCTAGGCTGAATGTTTCTCCCTCTCATTATGTTAAGCAAAAGCTAATGTTTTTATATTTAACCCACAGACATGATTTTATAAGATCGCAGACGAGTGTGTGTGTCACTGAACAGCCCTTTGACGTGCACAAGACAGCCGTCTTCCTGCTTCTCGGTGTCAGCAGAAACTACACTGCTGGAAAAGCATGAATAGTTGTTAAATGACTTTTAATTGTTGGTATCATTTCATTCACACCAGTTCACCAAAGCAAAGCAATGTCCAGCCCATGTCCAGCTGTGGTCAAGAGGAGGGTTGACTTATGTTGATTCCTCATGACACACTGAGTTAGACTGAATAAGATGCGTTGATGAGTTCCTTCAGAACTGAGATATACAACTCTCTTACCAAGTTACACTGCTGACAGATAACTCCTTAATGTCCATTTGCTCTGCAGGATTTCACATTTCTGTAATGTTTTCTTTTGTAACCTATCTTAAGGAAACCTTTGGAAGCTTCTGATTATGTCTTCAGGACCATGCTGGTCACTGTGTAGCACCTGTGTATCTATACATAAAGTCTGCTTCTGAAGCCATTCCACTGTCTGCAAATGGCAGCTTCACATTCCTTCCTTCATCTCCTTCACTACAATCTCCATATAAAGTGCTGCAAATTGCTGGCCATTTGTCTACAGCCATCTCTCTCCCTGCTGTGGTGATATGGGCTTCTTTTTCAAGAGGCATACTGTCGCTTCCTGCAGCCCCAGAAGGGAAAAATGGATGTGACCCATATGACACTAAATAGCTGTCAACCAGATCTAAACTGGGACAGTTTCTTGTTCTCTCTAGGTACACCTACAATCCCCCCTGCTGCGGTAGCTGTCTTGAGTATGACAGTGGAGAAAAGCTCCTTAGATGCCTTTGCCCCATCCAGATGGTGGCTACAACAGCCACCCGGACCATT